ATTCCACATTTTAATTAAAATGTTTATTCCGCTCGGCACAATAACGCTTGCTCGCTTTCAGAGGAAAAAAGGGGTATTAAGCATTAAAGGAACTAATTCCTCCTATCAAGAAAATTAGGATTTCTCCCAGGCAGACACAGGGTATCATCCAGGATTAGTGGCTGTAGCATTCTTTGTAAACATGTCACCCTTGAAAGTGAGCAACAAGGAAGGCTGCTATCGCCTTACAGCTGCAGGGTGTCAATAAAGCATCCCTTCGGCTCCGGAGGGGATTAGCTTCTTTCTGCGTCCTCCAGAGCACCATTTATCATGGAAACTGGGAAATAAGTGTGAGCGCAGATTACGATAATGCGGGGGTGGCTCCGGGCTGGGCAGTGGCAGCTCTGCCCCGCCGCTCCCCGGGGGTCCCCCATGGGTTTTGGGGAGCCCGGTGGGGAGGGATGCCTCTCACCACAGCTCTCACCCCACGGGCTTCACGGCTGGGTAGAAAAAATAATGCTATGGGGGGATCGACGTGCCGAGCCGTCCCGTAGCGATGCTCCAGAAAGTTCTGGGAGAGATCCCAGAGGAGATTCGGAGCAGCCGCGGTTCATTCAGTCATGGCCATCCCTGTTGGAAATGCGCTTGGCATCCATATAAATATCAAAGGATTTCACCGCGGCAGGGAAATGCGCGCCCAAGAACGACGATAACTGTTACAAATGGTCATCCCCAGTTGTATCGTCTTATCTGGTAATTAGCCGGTGGCGAGTGCTTGGGCACAGCTGCATCTGACGGGTCAAAAGATCTTCTCGTGGGGTCGCGTGACGCTGTGCGAGCGCACGGCCTCGGCGGTCGGACGCGACGGGAGAAAGCTCTCTCTGAACAAGTCAGCAGCGTTACGGTATCATTATTATTGTTATTATTATTATTACTATGATTTTTTTTCATGGCACAGTCACCGCGTCGGGGATTTACTTTCAAACGGGGTTGAGACACTTCTGATTTGTTGTCTTTTTTTTCAACCAGTGACGTTCTCGCACGGTGAGAGCCCCACTGGAGCTGGGCTTGGAGACCAACAGATTGCAAAGAAAGAATGGAATGGGATGGAATGGAATGGAATAGAATAGAATAGAATAGAATAGAATAGAATAGAATAGAATAGAATAGAATAGAATAGAATAGAATAGAATAGAATAGAATAGAATAGAATAGAATAGAATGGAATAGAATAGAATGGACTGGACTGGAATGGAATGGAATGGAATGGAATGGAATAGAATAGAAATAATAAGAAATAATAATGAAAAAATATAAAATAAAATAAAATAGGAAGTATAGAGCCTGCCAGGAGGGGCTTGCAGCTGTCCCATCCCAAGCCTAGAGACAGGGACAACAGTCCTGTGGTGGGTCTCCTGTCCAGGTCCTGGGGTGACAGCGGTGACACCAGCAGGACGGTGTCACCCGCAGGTGGCCGTGCACCCCGGCACCGCTGCGGTGCGAAGGGGCAGGTTTCACCCCCTCTGATGTTCGGAGAATCGAAACGCCTTAAATCACATCAGAGTTTTTTTTTTGTGTCTTGTGTTTTTGTTAACTCCCCTGCGCTCTTTGAAGTACAGGGGCTGGTTTTGTTTTTGTTTTAAATGGAAAGAAAAACCCGAGCAGAGCAGCCGGGAGCCCTCTCCCGATGCCCAGGGGAGGGGTAAGCAAACATTTACCTCCAGAAATCTGCAGGGCACTGACACCTGGAGGGTTCCTCTTGGGCCGGTAGATGTACCCCAAAATCAGACGGGATTTTCCCGTGGCCGCAGCGGGGAGGGATGTGACAACCTGGCTCAGGACCCAGCCAGGGCTGGGTTTTGCAAATGGTTTCTCAAAACTGGTGAAAATCCCCCGAGCCACCAGTGTCTGAGATCGGGATGCGGCTCTCTCAGTGCAGACCCCCTGCGTTTCCCCCAGCCATTGCACCCCGGGGTGCAGCCGGTGCTGCCCGCGAGCCGGGGAATATCTCCGGTCCTTTTGGAAACGGTGTTTCGAGCCTTCCCGAAGGGCAAGCCTCGGCTCCGTGTCATACGTTTATTTTGCTTGCCTCCCTTGCCCTCTTGGACATTTTCCTGATTAATTCTGGGTATCGGACCGACCGCTCGCCTTTGAGAAGCGGAGCGAAATAAAGGAGGTCAGATATTATCAGCCTCCGCGGGTCAAGTAAGTGCCTTTTCATTCGAAGCCTCGAGCGTTACCGGTAACTCCAGGGTTTGCAGCTGTTGATTCAAATTCGCAGAAGCGCGTAGCGCAACGGGGGACCGAGATTTTGTTTTCTTCGTAGCCCAGAACACGAGAAGCAAGAACCAGGGATGGATGGTGCAGAAGAGGGGAAATAGCTGATGGAGGGGAGGGGGTGATGCAGCCCCCAGGTTGTATTGCCCCGGCGTTTGGGAGAAAATAGGTGGGGTTTGGTGTTGCAGTGCAGCCCCCGGGTTATACTGCCCTGGCATTTGTTTGCGCGAAGCCAAATGTCACCATCAGCCTCTGTGGGACCCGAAGTGGGGGTGTTTCTGTCCGTCCCCCCCTCCCCCCAAGCAGATGCAGCGCGGTGAAGCTGCTTTTAGCATCCCAGCAGCGGCGTTTCCCGATCAGGGCATGCGTTGCACGAGGGGACTTTCTGCACGATTGAGGAGGCTCCTGGAGTGATGTGGCTCTTCGGCTGAATGTGACTGTAAACACTGGGCCGTGATGCCAAAAGTTCATTTTTCGGGGGGTTTATCCTCTCTGGTATGGCATGTACTTGCCTCTGTGCTTGTCCCCTGTCACCGTAAGAGAGAAGCCTTTGGGAGGGACTTTTGATCTTTATTTTTCCATGCCTTTTTTTTTTCTTTTCTTTTTTTTTTCTTTCTTTTCACAAAGAACCACCTACATCTTTCTCTTAGAAGATAAATACTTGAGAAGTGAAACAGCTCTTCCTGTGCCCGTAAACGGCAAAAAGCTCAGCTATTTCCCCTGCAGAGTTTAACTTGAAAATAATAACCATCATTGCTTAAAAACAGAAACCAGTAGCAGCCCAGAAGGCCACGGAGAACTTTTAGAAAGTTTTTAAGTTCTTTTTGCTTGTGTTTGACCCCATTGTATCTGGAGCTTGGGCACCTCTCTGGGTGCTGGGGCATGGAAGGTGTTAAACGCTGCGGAACTTGTCCCCCGATAGCCCAGCGGAGTCCCCTAAGCCGTTGTGATGCACATCCGAGTCGCAGGGGAGTCAGCATCACGGGAGCTGAGTTTTGCCACTAAGGCGAGCGCATCCCCTTCGATGTGCTGCTTAGGTGCCTCGTTAGCATTTTCAAAGCAGAGCTGGATTTTAAAGAAGCTGAAAGAAATCAGAGGGAAAAGGAAGAGTTGATGGAATAACGCTCCATCAACCTCAAAATGTAGAGTGTAGGGATAAAAACCTGAACAAGGACAATATTTGCTGTATGTGCAAAGTGTGTAGACTCATAAAATAAAAGAATGGTTAGAGTTGGAAGGGATTTTATAGAACATGTAGTTCCAACCCCCCTGGCCCAGGCAGGGACACCTCCCACCAGCCCAGGTTGCTCCAAGCCCCGTCCAACCTGGCCTTGAACACCTCCAGGGATGGGGCAGCCACAGCTTCTCGGGGCAACCTGCCCCAGGGGCTCACCTCCCGCACAGGAAACAATTTCTCCCTAATTTCTAATCTCAATCTCCCCTCTTTCAGTGTAAAACCGTTCCCCCTCATCCCATGGCTCCCCTCCCTGATGCAGAGTCCCTCCCCAGCTCTCCTGGAGCCCCTTTAGGCACTGGAAGGGGCTCTGAGGTCTCCCCTTCTTCGCCTTCTCTTCTCCAGGCTGAACCCCCCCAACTCTCCCAGCCT